TGTCAACATTGCGACAGCTTCTTAATAAGGGGTTTCTTCCAGGCTGGGAAAGGATATGAGCATCGAGTACGCACACGCAGTCTCGCATTTGAGGTCATTTTGAGCAGGAAAGAAGAGGACGACGCTGAATTTGAATGCATAGAAGAAGAGGACGACGCTGAATTTTGAAATTATGCAGATACAACACTAATACAAACCACACGTACATCCGCTTGGTATTGCAGTTAGGAATTTTTCGAAAAGCTGAGTATTTTGTCTCCCGAAGGTCCTTGTTTGCCCAGGCGGCATACAGCCATGCCGGACGGCGAACAAGATTCAGTCGTGCCTACAGGGGGCACAGGTGGTCAGGGCAGCAGTACCCGAAGTAATGAGCTCCTCTCCGCCATGGACGACAAACTCCAGTTTCTTGTGGACGCGCTGCGTGCTGAGATTGAGGAGAGCAAAGGCAGGGAGGCCCGCTTGCTCTCTCGGATAAGCGACCTTACTGACAGCATTTGTCATCTGAAAGACGAACTGCTTGGTGTCCGCAAACTGGCCCAGACTACTCAAGACGTCAGGCATCCGATTGGGATCAACAAGGCCAAGGAAAACATGAAAAACATCAAAATGACCACATGCACAGTGCTTCATCTGCTGATGCCGAGCAAGTTGTCGACATGGAGCCTCACACCCCGAACCCTCCTGCTGATGCAGAGACAAGCAGCAATTTGAGTACTCCTGAATGCGACAGTGACGTTTCCGGGAGGTGGTGTCCAAACGAGTTTTGCGGCGGACCACACCCCGGAACCACAGTGACGCATGGAAGCTAGTTGCTGCAGAGCCACCACAGACAGCGCGTGCCGTGGTGTACATTGGTAACCTGAGCACATCCTGCACCGAATCTAGTCTGAAAGAATACATTCAAGTCACAGCAGCTGCTCTTCCCGAGCCACAGTCCATCTCGGTGCTCACGTGCAGTATGTATACCTCTCCACATGGCCGGGTGTCAGCACGCGTAGCCGTGGATGCATCTCTTGTGAATCTCCTGACTAGCCCGGAATTCTGGCCCCGGCCACTGTACTGCAGGCCATTGAAGTTTGACGCTGGCCGTAAGAACTCCCCTGCGCAAAACGCGGTGGGTCCCAGTGTATTGGAGTCAAGCACCCAGTCAGCTGGCCAGGATGCTGACAATGCAGAGCGGACCATGTCAGTTCTGCAGGCAGCCACCCAGTCAGCTGGCCAGGATGCTGCCAATGGGGTGCGACACCAGCCACCTCCACTGACACCGGCTGTTGGATAAATCTTGCTCTTATGAACGGTCCTAGCCACCAGCCCTCCAGGACAGCAAGAGGCCAGAGGTGCAGAGAGTGAGACTAAGTTCACTCCAGATAAGTGTACCGCCTCAGAGTCTACCATTCCAGGTTACGGAGAGCCCCTGCGGATGGATTGCACTGCTCAGGGTGGAGGCGTTGCCATATGATGCAAGTCTACTCTCGCAGTTGCACAGATCGACCTCCATGCCACTCCTGTGGACTCTAAGAACGCAGTTCTATGGTGCACCATCCAGTCCCAGTCCGGCAGCGATATCACCTTGGGAGCTGTGTATCGTTCTGGCTCGAGTGGCGACTCTGACGTCTCCCTACTGGAGCACCTAGACCACTGCCTGGATGCCGTTCCACCCTCCGCCCAAGTCATCCTGGCTAACGACCTCAACGTCCACAGCACTGAGTGGCTTGGCAGTACCAAGACTACCACTGCTGGGCAACGCCTGGAAGAAATATGTGCGACGCACGGACTGATCCAACATGTTGATCAGCCAACAAGAGGAAAGAACACTCTTGACCTCATCCTGTCAAACTTGCCACACCCCGTCACAGTACAGGCATTTCCACCCCCCTCCCCGGCAATTCAGACCACTGTGTGATTATTGCTGAGTTCAGCCCAGTCACGCTCCATACTGAGCCCGTGTCTCGACGCCGCGTCTGGCGCTGCAACCAGGCTGACTGGGGCCCCATGCGTCATTTTATTCGTCAGACAGACTGGCAGCACATTCTTAGCCACCACCCAGAACACGCATGCGTACAACTTACTTTCCGCATCCAGGAGGGCATGGATCGCTTCATCCCATCGAAGCATCTGTCAGTCAGAACGTGTGACCCTGTCTGGTGGACTCCTGAATGTAGTACAGCTGTGTCTGCAAGAAACCGTGCTTGGCGACACACCCGTGCACACCCAGCTGATCTGCAATTGTCAGATACCTACACTGCAACCAGCCTGAGAGTTGCCACTGTGCTCCATGCAGCGCAGCAGGCTCATGTACCTTCATTGCGGAACAAGCTGTCGAATGGAAACCTACGTGACAAAGCATGGTGGTCAAACACGAAGCGTCCAGGAGGTCTATCCCGCACATCTGATATTCCTGTCCTAAAGGGGGCCGACGGTCAGCAATGTCCCACGGCCTCCTCCAAGGCTGACTGTTTCGCATCACTCTTCGCAGAGAAGTGCAGCATCCCAAACGATCTCACTGAAGACACACTCCCGCCTTTCCCACCACGCACTGACGCCATCCTGAGTCAAATCCGCTTCCGGGAATCAGCAGTGCTCAAGCAGCTCCGGTGTCTCGAAGTATCCAAAGCGTCCGGGCCAGACTCCATTTCCTGCCGCGTTCTAAAGGAGTGTGCGTCTGAGCTCTCAAAGCCGTTGTCGCAGCTGTTCTCGTCTTGTTTCTCCCATGGTTACCAGCCTACAGCCTGGAAGGTAGGCAATGTGGTTCCCATCCACAAGCGCAAGACCAAGGGCGATGTCCGTAATTATCGACCAGTCTCCTTGCTCTGTGTAGTATCCAAGGTGATGGAAAAAATAGTCAACCAGCAGCTCATCAACCATCTCAACAGAAATACCCTCCTGTCTGCCAACCAGTTTGGCTTTCGGAAATCAATCGGCACAGCTGACCTACTAACGTCACTCCAGCATGAATGGGCTTTAACCACCAGTAAGGGCGGAACCATTCAGGCCCTCGCCATAGACATAGCAGGCGCGTTTGACCGGGTTTCGCACCCTGGGCTCCTCTGCAAGCTCCGAGGCTATGGCATTGGTGGGCAACTGCTGGCCTGGTTAACATCGTACCTCCAGAACCGGAAGCTGTAAGCTGTTGTTGGGGGACAGACCTCTACCCCCTCTACCATCCGGTCAGGCGTCCCTCAGGGCAGCATCCTAGGGCCCACATTGTTTCTAGTATACATAAACGACGCCGAAGATCAGCTGCCTGCCAGCGTCTCCATTGCCGTGTATGCTGATGATACTACGTTATACACGCCTGTCATGCCTGGACAGACCACAGTGGCCGCCGCAGCTGCACGTCAGACAGGCGGAAACCAGCTGGAAGCCTGGGGAAGTACTTGGAGGGTTACCTTTGAGCCCTCTAAGTCACAGCTGATGTCTGTGACCAGGAAGCTGGCCCCTCCAGACTTCCCCCCTGTCCACTTCCTTGGCACCCCTGTTCCTGTCAGCAGCCAGTTGAAGCTCCTTGGGGTGGTGTTCGACGAGAAGCTCAACTTCAGCGCACACTTTGGATCTTTCCGGCCAACCAGTTATCTGTATCTAGCTTCTTAGCACATAGCAATCATTAATTTTGTAGTGTGAGAGTGAACATAGCTGTGAGTAGGCCATGGCTACCCAGAGCAGAACACCCAGTACGATTTCTCAACGGATGGCCCAAAAACCAAACCAACGTCACCGTCGGAGGGAGTTCAAAAGAAGAGAAGCGAATCTGCTGACTCCTATAACCTTGGTAAGATCAACGACCTGCTTCTGGAAATCCGTAGCGAGCAGACGAACTCCAGGGAGAGCATGGAGGCCATCGTCCAGCAAATTGGTTCGAAAATGCAAGGCATCATGGCGGAAAACTTGAAGATGGAAAAGACAATCGACAGCTTGGAGAACCGTCTGTCCTCGCTTGAAGTACGGTACGGAACTCTGACCCCAGACTCCGTACAGTCTACACCAGCCTGGACTGTCATGGAACCGCCCGCAGACAAAGTCGTTGACTTCGCTGCAGTGGTGCAGGAGGAAGTCGACAAGCAACAGCGCAAGAACAGCATTTTTTTTTTTTTACTAAGGCCACAGCTTCCAATCATGACGTGCAAAGCAGCGGTGCAGCATCGCAGGCATGAATCGTGGACGTGGTGACGGGGTCTGATGTGCTCCACCGACCTAGGGTCTCGCATCATTGTACGTGGCCTTCCTGAGGCAGATAATGAGCAACTCTTGCAGCAATGCAGCAAGACCCTCCACGTGGAACCATCCCTCATCCAAGTTGTTGAGAGGATTGGAGAACCTCTCAAGACTGTCACGCCCGGTGCAGCTGGGGCCGCCGCTGCACGTGGATATCGCCCAGTACGAGTACAACTGAGAACTGCGGGTTCGAAATCTGACATATACAAGCGCCGCTTCGATTTGAAACCTGATGATGGAGCTCCTCTGTATGTCGCAGTCCGTGCGCCAAGCCCTTGAGTAGCCTGTTTTTTATTTGCAACCGCGGGAAAAATCGAGGTGCAAAAAGATGACGACGACACAATTGTTTTGTTGGGAATTTGCAACCTTATTTGGATCTGAACTGGCGTGTGCTGGAGGAATCCTTGTTCATAACTTGGTTTGCTGCTGAGGTATGTCCCTTTGTCACCTATGTCACTTTAGCTGAGGTTCGTTGCGCCCAACTGTAGACCATGAAGACCTGTGTTTGCACTACATATTTTTTCGTCGTAATCGTACCATCAACTTGCTTGTCGTGCTGGAGTGGATAGCATATAGCGGACACTCTCGGCTTATGCTCTAAGCCAAAGGTAGATATATTTGGGTTTGGATTCCCAAAGCACATCCCAATCAGGCTATGCAAAATGGAGCGGTCCACAATTTCGTGGAGGTATGTCGAATTGTGTGGAATTTTGCACTAAAGTAATTGTGCTTGAACAGGGACGTTTTGGCTGCTTATTTTCCTTGGGCACCTCTACATTGCAAACTAGTCCCCTTGCTGTTTTGTCTTCGACATCTATACGGAATTTCTATGTAAGTCGTGTGATTGGGGCCCAGATTTTAATCAAAATCCAGCAGTATTCCTGGCTGCTGATCTAGTTTGCTAAAGTTCTGGCTGAAGGTAGTCTGTGGAACAGTTTCTTTTGTATGTACCATGGTAGGACGTTCATTACATAATTATAGATGGAGTACATAGTCAAAGAAACTTTTTATATAGTTTAGCACAACCGCACAGAAGTGCAGGTCCTGAAAGAAAAGCAAGTGCTGGAGACGCAGGGTCCGCAGCATGTGCGAATGCATTGTGAGAGCATGTGTCTTCGAATTCAGCATCACACACATATACACACTCACACACGCGCGCATGCGTGCACACACACACACACACACACACACACATACAAACACGTATCACACACACACACACACACGCACACACACCATTGGACCATTGGACGCCCATCGCCGGAGGCGATGATAAAGATGCTACAGCAGAAGCCATAGAAGCACACACGCACACACACACACACACACACACAGACACGCGCGCGTCATCTGGCGCGGGCTGGGTGTTGCATGCTGAACATTCTGTACTTGCAGCCTTTTCTTGATCATGTGTGATAGTTGTGTCACAGGTTTTTGCCGTATTTTCTGGATTCTCTGTGCTTTCTGTAGATGGTCTTGCGCGCTCGTCATCAACAGCACTAGGTCCAGTGGGCCAATCAGGCTGAATGGCATCATCCAGCTGTGACTGGGGTGTAGGTAAGTGTCTCTGCGTGCTCTGGTGGTCGACTTGTGGCTTCTGGCCTTCAATCATTGTTCTTGCACGGGACCTCAGCCTGCCTCGCATACCCTGTGGTTCACTTGTGTCGGCAGGCTGTGATGCACAGTGGAATCCTTGATGTGGCACTCGGTCTATGTTGTTGCACGCGACGATATTGCCACTGATGGGCTTTGGTGTGATGCTCTGAATAGATGTACATGTACCATGAAAGCCTCTTGATTGGTCTCCGTAGTACATTCGCCTGCCTGGCTCGTTTTTGTCGATATTATCCACTGTTGCAATGGAGAACTTTGCGTGAGGTATCTCACTGTTCATTCCGAGCTCTGATTTCTTATCAATGATGGTCTTTTGATATTGCTTGTAGGAGTCGCCACCTGCTGTTGCGCCGACTCGAGCTAGTACTCGCATGAGCTCGCTGGAATTGCTATGTGCATCCACAAAGTCCGAAAGAACAAGCTGGAAAGGGTAAGTGCATGCTGGTGTGCTTGCATGCATCATGCATGATAGAACAAACAAGCACCGGATCATCTTTGCACGGTGGTTGGATGCTTGACTTCCTTCTGACTCCGATTGGCCGTACATCATCAGCCAAATGTTTCCCCACAACTCACTGTCCACACTATCCACCACTGCGTCCAGCTTCATTTCCGACAGTGAAATTAGGTCGTTATGCTCTTTGTGCTTGAATTCTTGTGCTTGACTTTTGATTTATGAGTGCATTGCAGCCGACAGCTCTGATACGAAGGATGATGGGCCACTGGGTTGGCTTGTGTGCTGTGTGTGCTGGGTTTCATTTTGTGCTCTGTGTTTCAGGGTCTGGGATCGTGCAACGGCGAGGGAATTGTATAAGCACAGAACTGTGTCACACCCTGTACGATACAGGAGCGTACCTCGTTTCTTACTGGTACCATATGACCCATGACTGAGATGAGCGCCAAGCTTCGAAATAAGGCTGGACAGTAGCCACCGGTTGTTGCAGTCGCTGGATGGTGAAGAAATCAGCAGCCGTTGCCAGAAGAAGAGAACGGTTCTCGAGGAATGCAAGACAGACAAATCTTGCTGTTGCCAGCAATGCAGACTCCTCGGGTGAGGTGCATTGGTGCATTTCGTCTGTTATACTCTGCACCAGGCTCTCCAGCTTGAAGTCAGTAGTCTGACTGTCCACCATATCCAGTTGGCCTTTATAACAGGCTAGGCAAAAAGCACTATCCGCGGTGACCGTAAGACCACGCTCAGTGTGCAGCTGACGCTGAACTGCTCCGACGTTCGGACATTTACGCTTAACACCCCTTATTTGTGCGCCACACATGGTGCATGTGGGCCTGTTGCTGTCATGTAGCTGCATGTTATGCCGGTTGCAGAGACCCGCTGGCTGATCGTTTGCGTTTACTTTCACGTTAACCTCTTTAGCACGACGCTACCTGAGCGCGCCCCACGACAACACCTGTAAAAGTCGCATTTTCCCATGAAAGTACTAGCTGCTCAAGGATCGATAACTTTCCCTTGGACGAATTCCACGATCTTGAGCTTCCTGGAAAGGTCTTGAGACGAGTGACAAACTGGTGTCAAACCTAGCTCGGAGCGAAACCAAAACCCCGTGCTACAGTCTGGCAAACTTCATCCACGCGCTCGACAGACTTGAGCACGGCCAAGACTAACCAAGCTCAAATATTTAGCTGCCATTTCGGTCTCCTTGCTCGTATCGAGCTCAAATGTTTTGTGAGGACTCACGGGATCCATTACCAGCATTTGAATCTTGTTTCCATGGCAGCAGGTAGCGCACAAATGATCCATGATGGAAAATACGCGTTCTGCAGACTGCGCAAAAAAATCGAGTTGAAATTTGCCGTGTCGAGTCGCATATCTCAACAACCGGTAGTCGCATCGCTTCGGCGATTGTTTCTATCGCCAGCTGAGAGTTTTCTCTCGCAGATACATGTTTCGATTGTGAGAATCGACCAAGTATTGAGTGAGTTACGATAGTTTGAACAAGTCACTATGGACTCAACACGGACCCCACGACTATGAGATGCAGGTTCACTGTACAGTGTACAGCGCGCGTCGTACTGAGTAGTAGTAGTAGTAGTAGTAGTAGTAGTAGTAGTAGTAGTAGTAGTAGTAGTAGTAGTAGTAGTAGTAGTAGTAGTAGTAGTAGTAGTAGTAGTAGTAGTAGTAGTAGTAGTAGTAGTAGTAGTAGTAGTAGTAGTAGTAGTAGTAGTAGTAGTAGTAGTAGTAGTAGTAGTAGTAGTAGTAGTAGTAGTAGTAGTAGTAGTAGTAGTAGTAGTAGTAGTAGTAGTAGTAGTAGTAGTAGTAGTAGTAGTAGTAGTAGTAGTAGTAGTAGTAGTAGTAGTAGTAGTAGTAGTAGTAGTAGTAGTAGTAGTAGTAGTAGTAGTAGTGGTAGTAGTAGTAGTAGTAGTAGTAGTATTTATTATTTGACTAGGGGAGTCCCAACAGGCATGGCCTTGTTACAGCAGTCCTTTCCCAAACGACCAATCCCGATATAACAGATTTCGAGGGTTTTTTTTGCCGGGAAACGTTCTCAAGCTTGAGAAATTTCGAATTTGTCTAGTTTTGGGGTATGTATGAAATAGGGTTATCGGCCTGGTCGAGCAGTGAAGGCTTATTCCACATCCCTTGAATTATTTCATATGAAAGGTTATCAGTTTGGCAATGCCCTGCCGCCAGGAGAATGCAAACAACGCGATAGAATGCGTCCCGGGTGGTAGGGATCATTTTTCTAAGTGCTAGAAAATAGCCGACATCGATGCGAAAGTCGGCCTCAAAGTCGACATGGACGTCTTGAACAGGTGAGATCTTTCAATATATCAATGGAGAACACCCTAAAGAATATATGTATAGTGTTTCTAAGCTTCTAACCCTTGTGTGCTCAAGTGAAAATTGAACATATTTGGACGTGAATATATCACCACACAAAACCTGATACTGTAGTACATTTATCATTCAATGGGTATACAGTATACAACCACCATACAAACACGAGCAGGAGAATGAATGGACAGGAGAAGAGTTGGTTACCCATTGCTGTTCAACAAAGAGAAGCACATACTAAAAGTTGAATTGGATTAAAAGGTATTTACAATTCACAATTACATGTATCACTTTCTGCGAAGTAATACTTGCGGCGAGGAAATGCCTGTCGCGCACTGTCGCAAGCAGTTGTAGGGCCACTGTCCAAGAAGTTGGCAAAAGCATAACTCTTGCCAAGCGCGTTGTACAGTTCACTAGGCTGGGTGCACGTGAGGGTACTACGCACTGCACTTAGATGCCGCAGAAACAAAACAGATTGTGAATCGTCTGTCGCGATTGCAGCTCATCGCAGGTGTTGCATGTTGCGCATTGTGGAAAGCAGTTCATGTATTGGGAATTGAGCTTCAGTAATAACAGAAAGAGGATCCCAGAGGATGACTGACACCGCTGACAAACACTCTTCTGTGCAAAGTTTTGATGACGATGCTTGATTGAGACGTTAACCTGCAATGGAAAATAAACAGCAGATGATACTGATTATATATAATATTATATTAGGTACGGATTATACCATGAGTATGAGGGGTATACGGCGAATATTTTCGAGAGTGCGTTAGGACGAGGGACAATTGGGGGATTCGGTATACACAGAGTGCGAATGGTATAATCCATTTGCATGGTACTTTCCTATATACAGAGCGTGACCAGCACGAAAGCTTAGCTCGCATTCGACGGGGCTCAACGGGACGCAACGTAAGGATTGACGGGAACCGACGAAACGGTTATGACGCCGACAGACAGCGTCCAATGTGAACACCAGGAACGGGAACGCAACCGTTCTACCCTACAGATTGGGAAGCGAGGGGAAGAGTTGGATCAGTTCAACTTTTCAGACCGTAGACGGGGACGCAAGCGTACAAAACAACTGCATTCGAGTGTGAACAGGGGATGTGTCGTGCGCTGACCCCTCCCGATGCGCACAACAGCACACTTAGGTTTTTTAACATTTGAAACACGGTCAACACTACGCTTCCCATGATAACTCGCCGAATGGCTAGCACAACTGATTCAAATTTTAGGAAGATAAGATTTCGTGTCACTTCTTGAAAATTGCAATAGCTGCTACATGTCGTGTCATACTACATGTTGTGTCTTACGAATCGTACAAGATTTTACAGCTCACCCCGGCCGTCCCAACAGGCCCTTACGTCCCATACTGTCAGCGTTACGTCGAATGTGAACTAGGCTTAAAGTTTCCTTATTCTCGAAGTGACCCATGTGAACCGAGCAGGATATATCGCTGAATATATCCCGCTTAGAACGGCCGCTGATTGGCAAATGGTGTTATATTTGAAACGAGTTCTATATCACTCAACTTTATATCACAAATGCTGGCGCACTTACATGAGGAAGGGACGGATCCATACACGTGCACACATCAAATACTCTGCCAACAGCCAGTCAGCGATGATTACAAATATACAGTGCAGCAACCCTGGACAGCAAGAGAGAATGTCCACACCAGAGAGCCTGAAAATGAAGTTATACTCTGATGAACGATTCGCATACAAGAATATTGGTGACCAAAGTGAGAACAAGTCTAGATCACTCAATTAGACAGAACAATCTTGAGTGTACACTTACACGAGAAAAAGGACGAATCCATAGGCGTGCATACAATGCATACATGTCATGTTGAATACGCCGCCAGCATCAAGGCGGTGGGAACTACAACTGCATGCATACAGTGCAGCAGCCCTAGGGAACATCTCACTAAATGTAGAAGATATGGCGGGCAGATGATTACGGCTATAGAACAGATGTCATTTTATGGTGCATGCCATTACAAGAACCAGCATTTTTATGGAACGGATGGTACCAATACGGCGAAATGTCTACGGATTCAAGATAAATCACAACAGACTTAAGCAAGAACATGGTAAAACTGAGCAATGGACTGGCACATTCAAGACTGATTCATATTTCATGAACGCAATGCGCACAGGCGACCAAACAAGTAACTCAACTCAAGATCAAGTCAACTTTCTCGCCGCAAACGGCCGTTGTGACGTGTTTCCCTTACGCAAAGCGAAGTGTGAATGAGGCTTTACTCTACATATCCAAAACTGTAAACCAGTGAAGACTACAGCTTAGAAGACGGTATTATAATGTTGTGCATTGTACTTGCCAAATGTGTGTGATACTCTATGTAACATACATGTAGATAGGGCCAAGCAAGCACAGCAAGTTCTGAATTTTAGGTATTTGGAGCTCGTGAACAGATAAGATTTGTCTTGTAAGTGATAGGTATTGCTTACCTCTATATGTTGCCGCCTTCGTGCTGGCCGAAAACGCTGCGTGCTCTGGCGATAATTCGGCTTGAAATTAGGTGCATAAAAATGCCATTTTCAGCTTCGTTCACAACATTTTCGATATACGTCTCCTCTACGAAACTTCACTAAAAATATATCTGCCGAAAGAGCGTCCCGTCAAGAATACATGGTGTGAAATAAAACGAGGTGGTGCAAAGTAAAACGACGTAGGCCATGTAAAACGGCTTCCATCTCTCAGAACCAATTTAGGACAGTTCTCAAATTTGAGAACATTTTTTCGCTTTCGCGGCAAAAATCAGTCAAGAATCTGTTATATCGGGATGAGTGGGAGAGGTCTTTTTTTTGCGCGTCTGGGGAAGGACTGCAGGGAACCCTTGGTGAATCTTTGTGAGGTGAGCAAAAGTACCAGTACGACGGCCGTGGGGCATGCAACTCATGTGCGTCGTACTAGTACGACGCTCGCGCGCTTCTCGGCCAGCTCTACTGCTTGTAATCATGGTAAACTGTGACATGCCGTGGCAAATCACAACCATCTACTGAGCAGTCTGGTATTGTTATTATTATTATTTATTCTTCTTTTACTAGGGAATTCCCAACAGGCGTCAGCGCCTTTTTACAGGGAACCCTAGGTATAATTTGATGGATGAGCGAAATTCAGCTGGTGAACTGGACATGCGGCAAGCCGGTGGAAGTGTATTCCACCTGGCAGCGCCCAAATAAGAAATTGCACTAAAGCCATATCGGGTGTTAGCGGGGGGCAGAACAAGAGCAGCAGAGACTTGGCCACGGGTGGTGGCTGCAGTGCGAGCACCATGGGCGCGCAAGGTAAAGCGGTCTCGCAGAAGAGGACTAGCAAGTCCATTCAGGCAGCGGTAAACAAATACGTAGGTTTTGAAGTTGAGGCGTTTCTCAAGGGCGTACAAGTTAGTATGACTGTATAGAAGAGTGGTGGGAGTCATTCTATCCAACGAAAATATTCTCTTTAATGCTACGCGGCTGGCAGTAAGAAGCTTGTCATATAGGGCTTGTGATAAGCAATGAATATATGCAGTGCTGCCAAACTCAAATGTGGACTGAATGATCGATAAATAGAAAAGTCGTTTGCCAAAAATGCTGATATTCTGCTTTGCGTGGACAAATGCTCCAACCTTCCTATTGACATTTGCACATACTGCTGTTGCGGGTGCTGGTGCCGGTGCTGCAACATGCTGTGCAGGCATGCACGTTGTCAGTGACAGGCAATAGGGAGGTTCCGGAGTACGATTTTTCGTACCAAAATCCGTGGAGGCTCTACGGATTTTTTATACGTCGTTTTCGAGCAGTGAAAAGTTCCGGGGTACGGAACTTATGTGTTTGCCGTCATTGCCTAGGTTACGATCGCAAACACGTCACATTCCCGCGCTATGCCTTTTTATTTTGAAAATTTGTACCGAAATCAAAACTTCCCGCGAAAAATCGATGTTTCTCGTACCAAATTTGTACGCGAAAAATCTTTCTGCACCCGATGACGCAAAATCTCCATACGAAGCATGGTTCGTATGAAAGCCAGTCCACACGGATTCTCGTGCCGAAAAATCGTATGGAGCGCGCCTGGAAAAAATCCGTAGCGCCCATACGGATTTTGGCACGGAAAATCGTACCCCGGAACCTGTCTATTGGCTCTGCTGAATGATTTATGAGCCTTTTCATGCATTTCTTGCAGATACATGCATTTCGTGGTATTGTAGGGTGATGTGCATATTCCCAGCATTGCGTGGTATCGGGGTGGGCATATCTGCCATCAAGGGGAACATCTTGGCAGGCGAGTACACATGGTCCGCATTGCCTGTCAGGATGCAGTTTCGAGCCCTGGCTTTGGCGGCCCATTTGGACTTGGTCACAGTGCGGACACTCCTGGCCTATAGCAACACCATCTGTCCGCCCATTCGCGTAGTTTTATCAGAGATAGAGCCTTGCAAAATAAGACGGCCCACAATCTCCTGCGACGTATTTACGAAATGGGAAATTGAGAAGAGAAACAAAAAGGCACCGGAACGACTTGAGAGTCGAATATCGAGGTGCACTTTCGAAAAATGTGTTCATCGCTCACCCTTATAACACCATAACGGCGCAAAAGCAATCGATATAGGAGGATAAGCCTGTATTCTCGAGGTAACCAATAGTCGAAAATTGAGAATAATTCGGTATGTCACTAAATTCGTCTTCAAATTTCCCGCGGTTGCAAATAAAAGTGCAACTTTTAGACGACTTTTTTGAACTTGGCGCACGGACTGTGTCGGGCATGATCTGACTCGCAAGCAGCAACAAGACAGACGGTCACATGTAGCAACGTACAAGGAACTGCGCCGGCGAGGCATCAAGTGCTCTCTGCCGTTCATTCTCATGGAGGGTCGACCGATCTCTGACCAAGAAGTCCAACGGCTCCTGTCGGATTCAACAGATTAACCAGCGTTCTGTTAGGCTCAATATGTCCACATCGTTCTCTTCTAGGAGCGCTGTGATGTCGGCTTGTTGTGCAAAATACTCCGGCAGTTAACATTTCCAACTACAAGACACGGGCTATTTACTGGCAACTTACTAGTGTAGTATCCCTGCCCGACCAATACGGAAGTAGTACGGAACCATTATGGAGCTTTGCCTGATGTATTTAGAAAAGCGATCCTGTCAGCTTTTCTATTATTGTGTTCACATGGCAGAAACAACGACATCGCTATGCTACGTAAGTTTCTACGTAAGGTGCTCGGTATTTCACTTAGGCTACGTAAGTCTCTACGTAAGGTGCTCGGTATTAGATCTACCAACGCGTGGTAGCCGTGTGCTGTGCACGTGCACGGCAGACATTGTGTTCAGTGCATGCATGCAGTCCGCGGATCCGTGTTCGGATGTGCATGCGCGAGGAACTTCCTTCTTTGGAACTGCTTCTTGCATGAGCTGTTTCGGATATTTCGTCTCATGGCCTGGCTTATTTCGTTTCGGCGCTGCTGAGACCTCCTTTCGCGGAATATTACTCAATGACAGGTGAGTTGACCAGTTTCCTTTGATTCATTTGCTTGTGTTGACTCTTTCATTCAGGAAAAGTGTGCTGATTTTGGGGCGGAATGCAATAAATAATGGAAAAGTTGACAGGATCTCTTTTCTAAATTTTGCTTTTCTGCTGCCGAGCTGCGAGGCCTCCTTTTACGGAATACTCGATGACAGGTGATCTCTAAGTTGACCGGTTTCCTTTGATTCATTTGCTTATGTTCACCTTTCATTTACGGAAACGTGTGCTGATTTTATTCGGATTTAGATCCATTTTTATCTCTTTGCCCTTGTCTACAGTGTGCGAAGAACGCGAGTTCAACTTCTTGACGGTAAGGCTTATGTTAGATGTGTTGTCGAAATACTCATTATTCATTGTACATTGGTACGTTACAAGTAAGGCACTGGTCAGTGGCATACTATCGTTGGCAGTTCGCAATCTGGAGGGAAAGGTTCAAGTACCAATTGACCGAGTTTGCAAAATAAATTCGCATATCAGGGGAAATCTCTATTGTGGAGAGGTTCAGTAACTTGTTTGTTTCATAACCATCACAACCATCTACTGAGCAGTCTGGTATTGTTGCGGGTGCTGGTGCCGGTGCTGCAACATGCTGTGCAGGCATGCACGTTGTCAGTGACAGGCAATAGGGAGGTTCCGGAGTACGATTTTTCGTACCAAAATCCGTGGAGGCTCTACGGATTTTTTATACGTCGTTTTCGAGCAGTGAAAAGTTCCGGGGTACGGAACTTATGTGTTTGCCGTCATTGCCTAGGTTACGATCGCAAACACGTCACATTCCCGCGCTATGCCTTTTTATTTTGAAAATTTGTACCGAAATCAAAACTTCCCGCGAAAAATCGATGTTTCTCGTACCAAATTTGTACGCGAAAAATCTTTCTGCACCCGATGACGCAAAATCTCCATACGAAGCATGGTTCGTATGAAAGCCAGTCCACACGGATTCTCGTGCCGAAAAATCGTATGGAGCGCGCCTGGAAAAAATCCGTAGCGCCCATACGGATTTTGGCACGGAAAATCGTACCCCGGAACCTGTCTATTGGCTCTGCTGAATGATTTATGAGCCTTTTCATGCATTTCTTGCAGATACATGCATTTCGTGGTATTGTAGGGTGATGTGCATATTCCCAGCATTGCGTGGTATCGGGGTGGGCATATCTGCCATCAAGGGGAACATCTTGGCAGGCGAGTACACATGGTCCGCATTGCCTGTCAGGATGCAGTTTCGAGCCCTGGCTTTGGCGGCCCATTTGGACTTGGTCACAGTGCGGACACTCCTGGCCTATAGCAACACCATCTGTCCGCCCATTCGCGTAGTTTTATCAGAGATAGAGCCTTGCAAAATAAGACGGCCCACAATCTCCTGCGACGTATTTACGAAATGGGAAATTGAGAAGAGAAACAAAAAGGCACCGGAACGACTTGAGAGTCGAATATCGAGGTGCACTTTCGAAAAATGTGTTCATCGCTCACCCTTATAACACCATAACGGCGCAAAAGCAATCGATATAGGAGGATAAGCCTGTATTCTCGAGGTAACCAATAGTCGAAAATTGAGAATAATTCGGTATGTCACTAAATTCGTCTTCAAATTTCCCGCGGTTGCAAATAAAAGTGCAACTTTTAGACGACTTTTTTGAACTTGGCGCACGGACTGTGTCGGGCATGATCTGACTCGCAAGCAGCAACAAGACAGACGGTCACATGTAGCAACGTACAAGGAACTGCGCCGGCGAGGCATCAAGTGCTCTCTGCCGTTCATTCTCATGGAGGGTCGACCGATCTCTGACCAAGAAGTCCAACGGCTCCTGTCGGATTCAACAGATTAACCAGCGTTCTGTTAGGCTCAATATGTCCACATCGTTCTCTTCTAGGAGCGCTGTGATGTCGGCTTGTTGTGCAAAATACTCCGGCAGTTAACATTTCCAACTACAAGACACGGGCTATTTACTGGCAACTTACTAGTGTAGTATCCCTGCCCGACCAATACGGAAGTAGTACGGAACCATTATGGAGCTTTGCCTGATGTATTTAGAAAAGCGATCCTGTCAGCTTTTCTATTATTGTGTTCACATGGCAGAAAAAACGACATCGCTATGCTACGTAAGTTTCTACGTAAGGTGCTCGGTATTTCACTTAGGCTACGTAAGTCTCTACGTAAGGTGCTCGGTATTAGATCTACCAACGCGTGGTAGCCGTGTGCTGTGCACGTGCACGGCAGACATTGTGTTCAGTGCATGCATGCAGTCCGCGGATCCGTGTTCGGATGTGCATGC